GCCGGCCACACCAATCAGGCCTACCTTTCCCCTGACGGCCCAGCCAGCCGGCCACACCAATCAGGCCTACCTTTCCCCTGACGGCCCAGCCAGCCGGCCACACCAATCAGGCCTACCTTTCCCCTGACCCCGTGGATACGGATAAAAGGCCCATCAACACCACCACTGGCTGCATTTACAAGTGAAAGACAGCCAATAATGGAGCAGTTAGGGTGACAATGGGGGAGCAGAGGGAGACTCACAGATGTTGGGGAGGGGGCTACTGCCCATTGTTGTCAGTGGGTAAACTGGGCCGGCAGGAGGGAACTGGGGAGGGGATCCCCCACGCTTAAAAAAAACCCTGATTTGTAATGGAGCGGCCGAGCTCACCAAAGTGAGCAGGACAGCCCGCGCGAACAGCTGTCCAGGGGGACTGTGAATATGGGGGGGTGGGGGGCAAACAAAAGTGGCGGGGGTTACGGAGAAGGGCAGTGTGTGGAGGGGCAGGGGGAGAGGTGAGAAAAAGGGGGGGCAGGATTCCCCTGGTCTGATTTGTGCTCCTCTTTGTCTCAGAAATTGCGACACAGAAGAGCCTTCTCTTCACTCCAGCTGGGCAGATGAAGGCGTTTAGAACACTGAACCCCCCCCCCCCCCCTCATTTTCCTACACTTTTAAAGAAAGAGGGAGGAAGCTGAACTGATGGCATTTCCAAAGATGCAACAGAAATAACAGTCAGACATCTAATAACTGCCTGGCATCTCCTATTTGGGGAACTGCTCCGGCACGCAATTAAATATTGACCCTGTGCTTATTTACCAATAAAAGGAGCTGTAGTGTGTACAAGACAGAAAAAAACACCACATCAAATCATACTTTCTGTTCCCGAATCATTAAAGGGCCTAAACAACCTTTCTCACACTGCTACCTGTACTGGGATATTACCTCAAAGGTCATTGAAGATGTTGGCAACTCTCTCTGCCCTCGGTCTCTACACTGAGACACTGACACCAGGAATAACCACTCAAAAGCTACCATGTGAACTAGGGTGGGCAGCGGTGGCTTAATGGTTAGGGCAGCACACATGTAACTGAAATATTGCAGGTTTGAATCCCCGACCAGCAAGACACCACTGAGGTACCCTGAGCAAGGTACCGCCCCCAAGCACTGCTCCCTGCTGAACTCAATTTATGACAAATATAAACAAACAACGGATAAACACAAACTAAATGTAATATTTTGAATTTTCGCATCGGTAAGAAGTACTTGGTACCGTTTGGTAGATATATAGCCAAACATTGAGGGTGCTGTGTTTCAGGTGCTTAAAACGATTGTTTACGTTGAACTGTATGAATGGTATCTTTGCTAATTACGGTACATTGGACCATGTCAGATTTTGCATAGACAAATCATTTCCACACATAGAAGCAGCTTTTTGGAACCAATTCTTCCTCAAAAGCGACGACATTGTAGCCAACCGGTCTATAGACCATGTGCTGTTCACTGTGTGACACAAGTACAATACTTTTAGCAGTCTGATAGTATATAAAGTTTGTTTGTTTTTTCACCAGGTTAGCTAACTAGTTAAAAAAGATCAATGAAGTTTTTAGTTCAAGATCTAGCCACTAAATTGAGATCGACTGAGACAGATAATTGACAAAGAAGTGAGATATAGACAGCGATGAAGTGTTATGCAGGCTGAAATTGCTTTGTTTCACATCGATCTGTTTTTGTTGTAGTACTGTTGCAGCCTCTGAACACACATACGTTTGCAATGTGATAATCGGCTCACTTGTAGAATGCTTTCGACAAAAGCTAAATAAAAGTAAATGTTGTGCCGTATTGCGATACATACGACACCTACGAAATGGGTGTTGTGGATACAATGGGGTACAGTAAAATATCACCATACCACACACCACTACTCGGAACAAAAAGTAACATTAGTTGATCAAATTTAGACTGATCAGCCCACTGCTAGTCAGTGCCTATCGGGGCAAAAATGGACCTTTTCTGGTCACAGGCCGATTGATCGGTGCATCCTTAACATGACCTCAGCTCTCGCTTAGCAAGGCTCTTATGAATCTTATAACAGTATTTTTCCTGCTAAGGTGAGAGACCGTGGCTATTTCTGGTCAATGTAAGATGACTACGTATATTCTTCGTGCCAGGCTAGTGAACTGAATGTGCTCCTGTGATGTCAGATACATACAGGAAGGATGAGAGAAATAAGGATTTGAGAACCAATGGCGGGTGAGACTGCGTGCCGTCAGTCACTGATTGGCTTGGACTGTCGTGTGGCTGACATTCCAATAAACCTGACAGTAGCTGGTCACGTAATCCAACCCACTGCGGGGTTTGAATCCTCATTTCTCCGTCACCACTTGCAACCAAAATCCGACCACCAAAGCGATCAATAAAACATAGAAATAAAACAAATTAGCCAAATAAAAGATGACATAATGGCGTTACTCACATGGCTGCGATTGGCTGGGCAAAGTCACCTGATGATTCCTTACACCCGCGAAAAGCAGCTCAGCTCCACCTCTAGAGAAAGAAACCAAGAAATAAGACATGAACCCCAACGCACCCATAAAGGGGGCTGTTACTGGTCCATTTGGCTCATTTAGACGTCTACTGACTCCAGGGAGGACTGGGTGTGTTTAACTGCCATGGAAGTTACATTGCAGGGGACAATCCTCACTGTGTTAAGGCAGAGCAGGAGGGTCACTGACCAACAAGGACAGACAGAAGAGGAAGGAAAATACACCCATCCGATATTCGTCTGTAGTGCCCAGTCTCTGATCAGCAGGCCAGAGCCGTGAGGGACAGGGATTAAGTCACTGCAACCTGTCCATGTAAAGATTCAAACACACCAAGCTGACAGAAAACACTCATGCCATCCATGGCCAATGAACGGCCAACTGAGATCCACTCCGAAAATCTGCATTGTGATGCACTGGCATGACATATAGAGGCGGTGGTTTATATACAGCCCAATCAGAGAGCTCAGTTTCACCAACGAACTCTGAGACCGATTCAGCATGCTAAATCGGCTATAACGGCGCTGATGGCGGCCATCTCTGACTGTGCCACATACACCGGCATGACGGGTGGACAGCCGAAAACTCAGCTTGGTGAGTCCCAGGCTTAAAACAGGCACCCTACTGGTGCAGCAGGATGAGATCCAGGTGATGGCATGACCGTCATCTGTGAACCACCCCGCAGAGGGTCCAACCATGGGCATGGCCCAGGGCATCTGGGCACAGCTACCAGGCACTCCCCTGCAGCTGGGGGGCCAGGCAGGAGGGAGGGCAGTGGCACCACACAGATGTTCACCCACCACACAGCAGAGCACACCGGCGCTATTCAGTGGCAGGATGAAACAAACGCCTATCTCTGCGTCTCAGGCAGCCCGGGGGACAGAGTGCGTGAGGTCACTGCAGCAGGTGCGGGGCCCCACAAAGGGGGCTCACATTGGCTGCAGAATGCGCCGCTGTCTCCCCCCGATGTCGCCCCGCTGGCACAGAGCACGGCCGCTGGATGGCGTGGACACACACGGAGGGTGTCTGCATCTCGCACACAGACATCATGCAATGTGCTATGCAGCCTGCCATACTCAGTGAGGCATCCTCCCAGAACACACAAAGCACGCTTATAAATTGTGAAGAATATGCAGGTCTTCAGACCCCACATTATATAATTCTCATACATAACAGCATAACACTTAACAGAGCACTACTAACAAAACATGTAGCTTAACTTCTGCAATTTGTTGTTTTTAAACACTTTTATTCATCACTTATTTACACTGAGTTCAGAATTCTAAGGCAGATTTACTGAGATGTCATTCAAAATATGAATCACCTAGAAACAGAAATGTTACTTAATTTTTTTCATATTTATGACATTTATGACCATGTAGCAGTAATGCAAGATTAAAATTTAACATGGCATTAACCATTTCAATGGTTATTAGACCCAGCGATTAATGTAAGGAATGAGCTTCGTGATTTAGCAGAATAAGACGATTAACCTCGACCAGAAAGTGAGTAAGCACCTGATACGCAGCTGCACCACCTTTCTATAGGAGCAGTGGGACAAATTCAGAACAAAAAAAAACTTGAGCAAATATAAATTGTTTTATAAATCCCAGACTATGGCTGTGCATTCCTGCTCCAGGAGATCTACCCCACAGCAGAGCTTAGACGCAGCCCCGATTTAACACACCTGACACGGACAATCACGTATGTTAGCGTAGCTGGCTCTAATGAGATGCCACTGAAGAACCCAAGTATCTGAATCAGGTGTGTTAAATTAGGGCTATAGCTAAGCTCTGCAGGATGGTTGATCTCAAGCCCTGTCCCAAGACTGAGAAAGTAAAGCAGGGAACAATTCCCAGTGTTCTTTAAACGTGTAATCAAATCTTCATTCTTCAGAATCTTTTCAGAAGAAAATTATGAATAGAGAGTAATTTCATTCACCTATCTTCCCTAACCACTTGACCAGTATTGGGTCACAGTGAGCCCAGAGCTAATCCTATTAAGCACAGGCAGATGTCCCACTGCACGATCTTCCGATCCATCGCACATTAAAACATGCACTATGAGCAATTTAGATGCATCGACTTGCCTAGCAGTGTTTTTGGACTGCAGAAGGAAACAGGAGCGCCACACAAACACGGCGAGCCCGCGCACTCCATATACACAGAGCCGAATCAAACCCCGGGGGAATGAGCCCATGGAAGAGAGATATTAAATGATCTTAACACTCATCAGAGTGTATTCACAGACAGACATTTTATATATAAAAATATCATACGAGATTACTACATTGGACTGCAACACATTTAGGAACTATGATACGGTCTGTTGCTTCTTTCCCAGCTAGGAGGAGGCTGCTATAACTTACGGGATCATTAGCCACCGATGAAATCACTTCTCACATGCCTCTCCCCCCTCATCTCTAACACGCAGTACGATCTAGTGTACTTCGCTCGGCTTTTTTCTGCTGCACCCCTGCGTGCTTCGGGTATCATGATTCAAAAGGTTTGTCATCACAGGAGAAATCAGCGACCAGCACGAAAGTCAAGCTTCAACCTCCAATGCTAGCTTGAAAGCATAGGTGTATGATTTCAATAATGCACTAGAAAGAAAAACATATTCGTTTCCGTGTCCATTGCAGTCTCTCGCCATCTTTAGTGATTCGCATCATCAGACTAAAATCAGCGTTAAAGATAAGCACGTTTACAGGAAACCTTTATGAATGAAAAGTACCCCAATTTACTGACCAAACTCAGTATTCTATAAGCCCGTGTGTTAATTAGCTTTGATCAGTAAATTGGGATAATTTTCCTTTATAACTAGTGTTTAACATTTGAATACCTGTTGGTAATGCGTAATACGAAGCTACATTCAATGTTAGCCACACAATATCATTATAACTTATTAAACAGACCAGGATTCGTGATAAATGATACTTATACATATGTGACTTGTTATATTATAATACCAATCACGAGTCAGCAGGGCAATATTTTTGACTGCTACTGTTAATTTCACGCATGGCTTCAGCTACAACTAGCTAATACTTAGGTGAGAGTTCATAAAATGCATTGTTCCATTATTACTTTAATTCAGCATCATTGATCTAGTACTGCTCTGCAATAACACATCAAACTATATCGTATAACAATTTTCCGCAGTAATTACACTTTACATTACGAACCATTAATATTCGAAGTGAAAACGTAAACATCGGTTTTCTTATCCCCGTCTTTACAAACCACAGCAAACTAACGTAATGGATTAAAAGCCATCTGTACCCACCCGAACTCCAAATGCACTACTATGGAAGCCGCCATATTGCCTCGATACGCCGGAAGTCACCTTCCACGATTCCGGAAGTGCAGCACGCGTGCTAAAGGCCCGCGCCGCGACCGCGAGATTCATCAAATCATCTCGCGAATTAACTGGCCGTGGAGTGCCGCCATTTCTGTTTCATCCGTGGTCTAAGAATAGGGGTTTGACTTTGATTTCAGATTTTAGATAGCATTACTTAGATAGGATGTGGTATAAGCTCAGGATACATCTATTATAGAGAAATATTGATTACCGTTAGTATGTTGGTATTACTTTTTGGAAGCACTTAAGTGTTGGTAATATATTTTGTGTTTTTAAAAAGAAAATGTAAAACTTTCAGACATTTAAAATTCAGGCACACATTCATTGCACATAAAATAAGCTCTCTTTCCCCATGTCAAATTGGTGACAGCCCTGTCCCAAATGGGGGGTTAGATTGAATTGCAAATCTCATGCCTTCTGTCAGCATCTGAGTCGGCAGTGGGCCTTCCCAAGGAACCATTCATGTGGTAATGGGTAGTCTGGCCGAGGTGAACACGGGAAATCTAGAAGTCAGGGTGCAAAGGGGCAGCAGCCAGTGGACACAGACCGGGGGTAAAATATCAGCAGGGGGGTCAGAGTAAATTTGGGACAAGGCCAGTATGAACAGGGCTGTATTACATCCCCTTACTTCAGCCAATAAATGTTATTCCTACTTCAAAGTAATGTGGAAATTCTAAAAAGAGTTTTATATATTGGATCAGTGGAAGGCTGTCATGTGACTGTTGATCTTTGGCTATATCTGTCTTGCTTTGAATATGTTAACATTCATATCCTCATGTGAGTTGACAGTGTCCTCATACATAAGGTGGTCTTCATGTCATTGATTGAGCGCATTCACCTATCGAGTGTCACCAATACATTGGACATCTTATTTGTAAAAGCATACTGAAGTTATTGCAGTTCGTGTCTCCTGATCCCCAGAGATGACAGCCGTTGACTTCTTAATACGGCACTGGAAATGAGCAGCGGAGTTAATTTCTGAAACATGGCTTTGAGCATATGCAGAAATATGGTGGCTTTTAATAATGAGGCCCCCCTTTCCACTTTTCCAGATGGGGCTCATAAACGTAACTTACTCCCCCCCCCCCAGCGCTCAGCCAGAAACATTGAGGTGGGACCACATCCCATGAAGTGAGACACGCAGCCACCACCACGACGCGGTCGATTGAAATGTGAATCTGGCCTGCTGAAAGATGTGTGTGCGGGGGGTGGCTTTCTTCACAAGGAGATTGAGGCTGGCCACTGTTCAATAAGCCCCCAGGATTTAGATAACAAAGTGTTAAACCACCAGGACATGTCGTCCAGTCACTTCACATTTGCTAAGCTCGCCATTATACGACACGCTGTTCCTCTTCTCTCCCAGTAGAACCACAACACGCCACATTGTGCCTGTCCTCTCACCAGAACGTTCTACACCGTCACACTTCCTTAACCAGTACATGCTACATGGTCAGTCTCCTCTCCTCCGGAGTGCCACAGGTCAGGCTGGACCGCAGGCCCAGGACAGAAATGTTCTGAGAAACAGAAGCCCAGTCAGGACCCCACACATATCATCTGTCTGACATAATTAGGATCATAAAGACACTAATCTTCTTATGACCGAAAAGGCAGAGACTGAGGCTGACATAAAGGTAAAGGCTTCTCAGGGCACAATAAAAATGTATGGATTTTTCTCCTTATCTCTGAAATAAAAAAAACTAAATAGACATGCACAACCACTAATGGAAAAGGTAATGCGGGCAGTAAAAATACAATTTAATTTTTAATTAAATTTGTAGTTCTGCACCAGTCTAATATACGGGAATACTTATTACGGTGAGAAAAGCTTTAATAGTTATTATAGTCGCGGTTCTCCTACAGATAGGCATCGACCTTTTCAAAGGCGACAATTACTGCCAAAAAAAGAACCTCTTAAGAATTTAATAGGAATTTGTAAGAATTTGTTTTTCTTAAATTTCAAGGAAAGCGTGTCTGTGTGCGAGTCACTTGCCCTCGTGTTCTGACGTAGTTTTTCAACGTGGATCAGTTAGGCATGTGCCGGCCACTGTCAATGTAAAGGATTCTCCAGAGCCCCAGTGCGCCTTAGACACAGTTGTAAACCCATAAGGCAGTGATGCTGTATTCTGCAATACATCACAGTTTAGGGAAGAAAGAAAATGTGAAGGATGTCACGCACATCCCTGTCAGTGAGAAGGCTGCAATCGATGACAGCCACGTGTCACGTCCGGTGGACTGATCGCACATCCGAGCCTTTTAATAAGGCCAGAAACCTTCCCTTTCAACCTAATCTCACACCTCCTCTCCGTTTGGCTCTCCTCCTGCCAGCCTGATGTGCTTCCATTTTATAAGAGCGCTGCTGCACTGAGCATGCTCACTGGCTCCAGGCCACATACACACAGAAAACAACAGCAATAAGGCCTTTGTGGATGAAGTGTACATCAAACAAACAAATAATCCACAGATAACATCCTGGTATGAGGCTAACAATTAGCTACATCATCCCAGTATATTTACATATTTTATTCAATGCATTATTTTTTTCTTAATAACTGATTTAAATTTTTTACTAAGTGTATTAATGGATTAATACTGGGGTAGCCAACCATCCCGAAAGGGCCGTTGTGTGTGTAGGTTTTCGCTGTAACTCCCAAATTAGATTACTAATTAGAGGACTGATTGGCTGAAGAGTCCTCACACTTGGGTTTGAGCAGCTGACCTAAAGGTTACCCCCAAAACCCCGCACACACCGGCCCATCGTGGATAAGACTGGTCACCCCTGCATTAACACATTTTCTCTGCATCTGGTGAACAGTGTTTCTTCTCACATTTCTAGGATGGGAGCTATTTGGCGCTTTTCTGTCTCTTTCGCGGTACTCTGAATTGCATTTTTTTCCCGCGTGAGTGAGAGCAATAATCAAGCATACTGATAAAAACCAAACTACCCATTAAGATTCAATTATAAGCAAGAGTATTAGCTGTTCTCCAATTGGCGCATATAATGACTGTGGTTATGCTGCCATCTAATGGATGACACGCAGACTAGCAGGACTAGTAGGATTTTAGTAAAACTTCATTGCAAAATCAAAAATAAACTATATGCTTTAAGTGTAATGTGGGTTTATAACAGCAACAACAATAATCCAAATTGACAATCGGGGAGGCAATTGATCGTTGTAATTCTTTTAATTTAGTATGACTTCATTTACCTTATATTAACATATTTTCTATGTGTAGGCTACTGTTTGCACAGAATTGTAAAAATAAACAATACAAAGATTTGAGGAAAAAGTGCTGGAGAACAATGTCTGATACAAACAAAACAACCCACTGCTAATGTTTTGACGCAAGTTTGTAATCTAATGAGCAGAATTGCTTTACTAATGATCTACATAACCGAAGTGCTCAGCAAACATACGTAGTCCTACTTAAGTAATAGTGACGAATGTTATCTCATTAACAAAACAAAAAGTGTTACTTCGAAATCAGCATCTGAAAAATGTACATTTACATTTATTTATTTATCAGACGTGTTTATTCAAAGAGGTACTACTGAGGCAAAAAGCACATTACAAACATTCAGCGGTCATGGAGCCAACTTGGCATAAGTGCAGCTAGTCTGAGCTTCCGATGAATGACCAGTAACAAGTGCAAGTCAGTATCTACACAAGAAACTAACAAGAGAGCCATTCAGATCAAGGACAAGGTGCAAAATAAGAGCATTCAGGACACAAGCGAGCAGCGGAGCGGGGCGATCAGGGAAGGGACCGTCCGGGCAGATAATGTCACTGCAACCGTAAAGAAAAGTCATTGATTCTTTTTCTTATCCCATAGTCAGAACAGGGAAATGAACAGCAGCGAAAATAGGCTGTCCGTTACGAGATAAAAGATGGGGTTGAGCCGTAAAAAGCGTTGTGATAACAAAATGTTAAGCTGTGAATCATGAACCGCACCATTGTGATCAGCCGAATTGAACTTTAGAAATGAACTAACTGGAGTGACTGGTGAGGCCGGCCTGTTCAGTACTGGAGCTCACCGAAGGTTTAAGGCGCTCAGCAAAATGCCATCGGCATATGGCTATAAATTAGCTGTCGGGCCGCAAACATGCACTCAAGCAAATAGGCTGTCACTGTATAACTAGGCAAATCCCATGACTTACATAACATTCAGTTACCGCAGCCACGTGATGTGACTTATGTAATCTTTTTTTGTGGCAAGCCTGTTAACTTAAATATCGTTAAATATCAAGTCATACTATTTTTCCCCCTGATAGATCAGAAATAAGACAACCTGATAAAACGCTA